TGCATCTGAGTGCTGAGTCATGTCGTATGCCATAATATTATCTGACTAAGGTATGGGTACAAAAATTAAACAAGGCACAGAGTTATCTTTATGAAAGCAGAGATTGAAAGTTGAAATTAAAGAACCTGAGGACTGGGGTGGAATAGTGTGAAAGAAATTAACACAATTTTCCATAGAAATATATCCCCTTAGCTGAATTTAATTTCTATTAAATTCTAAGGGATTAAAGCCATAATTGTCAAATTATTCTATTATTCTGTTTCTACCCTTTCCTTTCAAACACACTACACTGCATAGTCCACATACCCATGACCACACATTTCTGCAAATTTCTATAACTCAACAAAGGAAGGGTGCAAAATCTAAATTATTTGGTTACAGTCAGCTTGCTGAAGGAAAGTGTAAGCCTAAAGTTGTTTAATCAAAAACCTGCAATCCCACATGTGAAGATGATTAGACTTTCTTTGAGCTCCTGTAAAAGAATCTGCATCACTGTGGTCCTTTTTGAACTGGTTTCCACATTCACAGAACTAGGCTGCTTAGTTCTGCACATCCCAGGAGTGGTACCTGTTGTTTATAAGACCACATTCCCCTCACTGTGCCGAGACCCAGCTGACCAGTGATCACTCCTACTGGGCTCCCAGCCCTGCAGCTGGCACAGCAAATCCTTAAAGGCTCACTCACAGATAAGATATTCTGAAGTCGCTACAAAGGACTGATTATTTCTATGAAAATTACAGCCCACAGTTCCATTCAAAAGCTTCATTTTTCAATACAAGAGACACACAGAATAAAAACTTCTACCACCAAAGGTTTTCATTCTAACTCATAGGCACCGTCCCTAAATTCAATTCTACCACTATGAAGATGGTTTTTATTTTCAAATATTCAACTCCATTACTTAATCCCAGCTGCTGTCTAAAACCAGGAATTATTTTTAAAAAGCAATCCAATTGCTAATTAGTTTCTGCTATTTACCTAAAGGTAATATTCATATAAAACTGTTTAGAACATGGGAATTTAAATTTCATCTTCTAACCTGTCAGGATCTCTTTTTAAAAATATTTATTATAACAGTTCAAAATCTGAATCTCCTTTTACTCATCAGCTCATTCACTGAAGTCTCTTATTCAAATCCTTTATTCCCAAATTATTGTTACTAATCCACAAACAAGTAGCTAGGATAGAGATGAAATGCAAAAGATAAAAAGAAATAAAAACTGAACAGGGAAGTTGAAGCATCAAGTGAAATATGTAAGAGGCATGCACGCTTGGAATGGTGGCTAGGGCTTGAGGGAGGCCCAAGAGGAAGGGGGTATACATACATACATACATACATACATACATATATATGAATGGCTGATTCGTGGTGTTGTACGGCAGAAGCCAACACAGCATTGTAGAACGATTTTGATCAATTAAAAAGAAAGACATGCTTTCCTGTTTCATCTTACTAATTATATATTTTAAATACTAAAATATTTGGGTGGAGAGAAAGAGGTAACATGTGGCTTTTGTTTAGAATCTACAGATCTTCCCTTACTGGAGGAAAAAGTAATGTCACACTGCGTTGAAAATAATTCAGTTTTTTATCTTCAAGTAGAATTTCACTCATCAATAACCTTACATCTTAATGTGTAAACTGAGAGCTAATGGGGAGCTGCTGTCTACGACAGGGGGATCAGCTCGGGGCTCTGTGATGACGTAGATGAGAAGGACGTGGGGACGGGGCTCAGAAGGGAGGGGACGCAGGTAAACTTACAGCTGATTCACTTGGCTGTACAGAAGAAACTAACATATCATAAAACAAGTATACAATAAAATATTTTAACTTCAGTTCAGTTGCTCAGTCATGTCTGACTCTTTGTGACCCCATGGACTGCAGCACACCAGGCCTCCCTGTCCATCACCAATTCTTGGAGTTTACTCAAATCTGTGTCCATTGAGTCGGTGATGCCATCCAACCATCTCATTCTCTGCCATCNTTAAAATAAAAGTATCTTCAGTCTTAGCTTTTATGCTTAGTTTTAACAAACTGTAAGATAGGTCAATTTTAAGGTCCACCACCACCCCAAATCTTAAAACTTTAAATGATTGGATTCACAATCCATGCTGTCCACATGTGGAATAAAGCTCTTTCATATAGTATTATTTTCTAACATTTGCATGTTTAGGTCTTTCTAAATGAGAATAATACACAACTGGGGCAAACTGTCTTTTTAGAGTTTTTATGAAGTCTTGTTACAATAAAATCGAAAACCAGAGCAATGTTAAAATAGAGGACATTGTGACGAAGAAGCACTGAAGTCTCTGGACTTCCTATTATAAATGTGGTTTTCTTTCAAGATGAGCTTTGGCTTTTTTTTTTTTTTTAATCAAAGCAGGTCCCACAAAGGAAGACCTACAGATTCCAGAACAGAATTGCAGAGAACTAGGCCATATTAATAGTGAAGCCTTTCAACTGGGTGCATCCAAAAGATAGTATTGTTCACATTCCCCATAGTTGATTAAAATAACTCTGTGTGAATGGGGTGGTCATTCTTAGAGCCACGGACCCTTCATTATGCCACTTGGACATAGCAGCAATCAAATCTATCAAAGTCAGGTCTCTCTGCCTAAGGTCCAAAAGCTGGGATGGTCCAACCTGCAGAAGCCTCTTTCAGGCTTTAGCAGTGAGAATGTACAGCTCCACTACCATTAACTGAGGAATGGCCTCCAAAATTCCCTGAGCAGTGCTTCATGAACTATACTGTGTATCACATACAGATAGGGATTGCAACATACATACTACTGAAACCCACCTTCTGGGTTTCACATTCAGTAAGTCTGGGATAGGTTTTGAGAACACATTTCCAGTTAATACTGATGTTGTTGTTCTCAGAACCACACTTTGAGAACAACAGCCCTAGAGAAGTGTCAGGGGAGTAACAACTCCTACACAGCTTTTGAGGGTGTACAATATAGAAAAGCAGAGACATTACTCTGCTGACAAAGGTCCATATAGTCAAGGCTATGGTCTTCCCAGTGGTCACATATGATTGTGAGAGCTGGACCATAACGAAGGCAGCAGGACAAAGAACAGATGCCTTCAAATTGTGGTGCTGGAGAAGACTCCTGAAAGTCCCTTGAACAGCAAGGAGATCAAACCAGTCAGTCTTAAGGGAGATCAACCCTGAATATTTACTGGAAGAACTAATGCTGAAGCTTAAGCTCCAGTATTTTGGTCATCCGATGGGAAAAGATAACTCATTGGCAAAGTCCCTGATGCTGGGAAAGGTTTAGGGCAGGAGAAGAGGGAGTCAGAGGATGAGAGCACTGGATAGCATCACTGATGCAGTGGACATGAACTTGGGCAAACTCCCAAGGTGGGGATGGTGAGGGACAGGGAGGCCTGGTGTGCTGCAGTCCATGGGGTTGCAAAGAGTCGGACATGACTTGGTAGCTGAACAACAAGAACAATATAGGCCAGTGTTTCTCAGCTGTGAAGTCACCTGGGGAGCTTTTGAAATCCTAATGCTTAGACCTCTAAATCCTAATTGGGGGCTAGGGAGAGGCAGCCCAGACAGCATTCTCTTTGAAAGACCCTCAAGTGATTGCACCTCTCAGTTCAGTCACTCAGTCGTGTCCAACTCTTTGCAACCCCATGAACTGCAGCGTGACAGGCCTCCCTGTCCATCACCAAGTCCCAGAATTTACTCAAACTCATGTCCGTCAAGTCGGTGATGCCATCCAACCATCTTGTACTCTGTCGTCCCCTTCTCCTGCCTTCAATCTTTTCCAGCATCAGGGTCTTTTCCAATGAGTTAGTTCTACGCATCAGGTGGCCAAAGAATTGGAGTTTCAGCATCACTCCTTCCAGTGAACATTCAGGACCAATTTCCTTGAGGATTGGCTGTTTAGATCTCCTTGCAGTCCAAGGACTCTCAAGAGTCTTCTCCAAGGGGCTTCCCTCATAGCTGTTGGTAAAGAGTCTTCTCCAACACCATAGTCCAAAAGCATCAATTCTTCAGCACTTAGATTTCTTTATAGTCAAACTCTCACATCCATACATGATTCCACCTCTAGCCAAGGTTAAGCTAAGATAGGAAGAACCTGTATCACTGATTCTCAAACTTTCCTGTGTATTGGAGTCACCTGGGAAATTTTTTAAAACACTGATATCTCCATCCCACATACAGATGTTCTGGAATCACAATTTTAAAAGTCCACAGGTGGTTTCTAATGAGCAACAAAGCCTGGGAACAGTTGGGCCTTCCCTAACTGAAATTTTCACACTATAAGAAGACAGAAATTTGGAGTTCCTTGGTGGCCTAGTGGATAGAATTCAAGTTTCCATTGCCATGGCCAGCATTCAAGCCTTGGCCAGGTAGCTGAGGTCCCACAAGCTGTGGCCAAAATGGATAAATAAATAAAAATAAATAATAAATAAAATGACAAATTGATCTAAGTCATAAAGTCATCATAATCAAGTTAGAGTTTTTCCTAAATTTAAGCATTTTAATCATATTTTTATGAAGCCACCACAAATAATTGGAATATATGGTTGATTGTGGATGCATTTTTAAAGTAAGTTAGAATATGATTTTCTTTAGGTATAGTTCATAAAGAGAAAATCCATCTTTTTAAACGCACGGTTCTATGAATTTTCACAAGTGCAGCCACCACCACAATTTAGGTATAGAATAGTTCTGTACCCCTAAAATGTCATCTTGTGCTCCTTTGAAAGCAGTTTTGATTTGCCACTAAGGCAGGATCTTCTGCCTAACTGCCTCTTCTGCGCCATCCTCAGTGAACTGCGCAGTCCTCTCTCTGTCTTGCCCAAAGAGGCTCCAGAGAGCACGGCCTGAGAGGAGAAGGGGCGGGGGGCGTGCAGCACCCATCCGCGTGGTGACAGGAGAGCTCAGCTCCTCTGAACACATAGACGTGCGTGTGAGGTCATAATATAGGTTATTACATATGCACAGAGTATTACAATGGAATTGTAGCAAATGTGACTAAATTTTAATTCATAATGTTATGTTAAAAAGACGTGAGTAAAAGGGATGATCACCTCTGGAAGATGTTAAGGAACCAGCTCACTATCTTGAAAACTGGTGAGTAAAGGGAAGCATCCAACCACGCTGCCTTTTGTGAATGGCACCACTGGGTACCCAAACCCTGGATGGGGGTCTCTCTCCACTAGGGTAGAAGGATTTGGGAGCACTACAATACCATCATGTTGCAACTCCTAGGAGTTGAGGACAATGAGGTTCAAAGTCAGCTGATACACAGAGAGAGAAGCCATGCATTGTGCACCTTTAGAAGGAAGAACAGCACCCCCTATGAAGTATTTCGGTGAAAAACATAAAGAAATGAAAATTTGACTCTGACCAAGGCTCTAGGGACAACTACCAATTTGTATGAAAAGCAGGGGCCACAGAAACATGTTGAACTGCGGCATGTGGATGCAGTCGGTCAAAGTCAGCCTATAGGAAACTCCACAGGAGAAATGGCACAGTTCCTTCCGTAAATGATTCTGAGAGACAGAGACACAAATAGATGTGGAATCTGTAGTTTAAAAAGGATACAGAACATTTACTCTGATCAAGTACAGTATGTGGGCCTTATTTGAATACAAATTCAGATAAACTTTAACATGCATGATATTTACATAAAAATTGTAAATCTGAAAACTGAGTATATCTCATTTGAATGTAGATGTAGGAACTTAAGGAATCAATGCTATCTCTTCAGTATACTAATGGCATTTAAGTTACATCAATATTTGTTTTTAAAGGGATTTGTCTTTTAGGGCTATTTACTGACCTATTGCTGGATAGAGTGACCTGACAGAGATTTGCTTCAAAATGATACAGTCTTGGGGAAAGTGACTGGGGTACAGGAAAACCAAGACTGGTCATAAAGTAATAATTGTTAAACCTGGAGGGTAGGCACTTAAGAATTCATTATGCTGTTTTGTCTACTTTTTCTGTGCTTGAAATCCACTACAAAAAAAGTTCACAATGAAAATAAAAGGCAAGAAAAACGTGCTTGCAAATGTCCATAATGACATTATTGATAAGAGCCTAAAACTGGAAAAAAATCCATCAATTAGTGAATGAATAAACAAAGCGTGGTATATCTTCTCTCTATGCCTACAATGACCTTGTCAATAGGTTTTGACTACCCAGAATAGCACCATTCATGACCTTCCCTGAAAAGACTGGAATATGAAGATTCTAGGCAGAGCTGCCTGCTCAAAAAACAATTCCCAACTGACTCAACACAGTATCCACCAGCATTTCATTCACTGAATGAGGAGCGGTTCTGGAACTCTGAAACATGGGTGGTCTTGGGTCATCCAGCATCCTACATTGAAAGGTGTTTTGTATGATGTTGCTTTATAACCTCTTCTTTTACACTGAAGTTGATGTTTCAAACCCAGTTTCCTTAAATCCCTGGGTAATCTGGGATTACGCAGATGAACTGAAAACATTTGGGCATTACCTGGATATCGAAAAAACTTAATCAGTGACAAAATAAAAGATCCTTCAAGGAGAAGTTATTTGGGGGATTTCAGAGAGTATTGAGGGAAACATATTTTGTTGTAAAGATGGGAGTTCTCAAGACCTCTTGGGAAGCAGAAGATAGCATCAGACACATTAATACACAAGGTTACCAGAAAAAAAATATGGTTAATAAATACTTGATTCCATTCAGCATATTCTTTGGAATTACCTTTTCTGTAAACACCATCAACAATGACATCAGAAAGATTTAAAAAAATCAATCAGAAGGGCCATAGTAGCTTAGATTCATGTCTAAATGAGGTCATAAATATGGTGGAGGGTAAGTTTGAAGTTTCTGAAATACATAGTACTAAACATATTTAAAAAATCAAATTCCTATATCAGTACCTATTTATAAAACTGTAAGTTGTATTTCATATTATATCTCAACAAGCATACTTATTTGTGAATGTAAAGGCAAGTTCAAGTTGATTTCCAACATGCAATTGCCCATTTCCCAGAAATGGTAGTTCAAGGATATACCAGTGTTATTTCCACTGCGGTTTAATCAATCAACATTACACCTGATCCATATAATATAGCGACATTAAATAAAACTATTCAACAAAGCTTCTCACTGATATTAGCAGTAGAGTTACAGAAATGCTTCTCATTTCCTGGTTAGTTTAATTTAAGGCTGGATAGCATCTTTCAGAAAAAAAAAAAAAAANGAGTGCTGTTTCTTAGCAGGAAACTGTTGTCAACAAGCTCGTAGGGACCTGTCATCAGGGTGCCACACAGAAGGTGAAACCATGGCTAGCACCAGCGAGCTATATTCTCCCAAGAACAAGTTGAGGGAAATTTTTCTGCCCTCTACTTGTAACAACTCTGCATATTAAATAAAACGAGACTTCTCTCCAAAAAGGGACTTTGCCTGTGAGTTAACATGGATACAGCCAAAGTGAAACTGTATGTCTGTACACAGGGTCAGCAGGAGCAGGTTAGCAGACAAATCTCAACCTTTAAGCCAAGTGGGAGCTACTTAGGCAAAATCCAGACATAAATATAAACCCAAGCATGTTCATTTGTTATCTTACAGAGACATTTATTACAAGTTATACGGCAGCAATTATTCCAATAAAAAAAGATAAATAAAATAAGATTTTAATAAACATAAAAAAATAAATAAAAAATAAATTGTTGGGTTTGAATAGATTTTCTGGGATTTTAGTTTACAAAGGAGGGTGAGTGCAGTTGAAAACCTCCAATGCACTCTAAATATAAACACAACGTGGATAAATTGTCACTTCTGTGAAGAAGACCCCAGCTCTCACACACTGACAGGTATAAGCCCAGTGGGGACACTGCTCTGTGTGGGGACAGAATGCAAACTGGGACCATGACTGTGTCAGCCCACAATGGCCTTCACTTAAATGGAAGGAGAAACGTGAAGTCGCTCAGTCAGGTCCGACTCTTTTGACTCCATGGACTGTGGCCCACCAGGCTCCTCTGTCCATGGAACTTTCCAGGCAAAAATACTGGAGTGGGTTGCTGTTTCCCTCTCCAGGGTATATCTTCCTGACCCAGAGGTGGAACCTGGGTCTCCTGCATTTCAGAAAGATGCTTTACTGTCTTAGCCACCAGGGAAGCCCTTCACTTAAACAGGAATTAATCTAAAGGTATACATGAGCACAGCTTTGACATAACAGTGTGTGTGTGTGCGCTAAGTCACTTCAAAGCAACAGTTGCCTTCAGGCTTGAACTGGGCATTTTCATCAGCAACTCCCAAAAGTATCAGTTTCAGAGTCACTTTAAACCTGGCTGTGATGTGAAGAACCAAGTGTTTGCTGATCTAAAAGTTGTATGGAAACCACAGAAAACCAAAGTTAGGAACACCCTACAAAAGTGGACAACCATACTTCCCAAAAACATTGCTGCAGCATTTTAAATAATTTACAACAAAGCTATGAAAATCATATTCACTAGGACACATATGCTAAATAAAAACATCACTTCATGCTAGTGTCCAGAGCTATGTACAGTGAATTCTAGCTTTTTCTCCCTTTAATCACAAGCATCATCTACACACACACTGCTTTCCTCAAATATACTGCAAACAAAGCATACCTTCGACTCGAGGATTTGCCCTTTGCGGCCTCCACACAAATGGATCTGTCCCTAGAAAGTGTGTTAGTCACTCAGTCATGTTGGACACTTTGTGACCCTATGGACTATAGTGCTCCAAGCTCCTCTGTCCATGGAATTCTCTAGGAACAAATACTGGAGGCTATTTTACTTTGTAGATAAGTGTAGAGCTTAGCTTGTAGTCCAACTTGTTTATTTTTGCTTTTTGGCGTCAAATCTACAAAAACCCTGTCAAGATTATTATCAAGGAGCTTACTGCCTATGTTTTCTTCTAAGAGTTTTATGGTTTCAGGTCTTATGTTTAACTCTTTAATTCATTTGGAGCTGGCTATTTTGCCTGCAGCTCTCCCAACTTTCACAACAGCACTGATTGAAGAGACTGTCCGCCCCTCATGGTGTACTCTAGGCTCCTTTGAGTAAATTAGTTGCCTGTGTGCACAAGGCTGTATTTCTGGGATCTCCATTCTGGTCCATTGATCTGTGTGTCTGTTTTATTCCTCTCCTGTACTGTTTTGATTACTATAGCTTTGTAATACGGTCTTAAATCAGGGAGCATGATACCTCCAGATTTATTTTTCTTTTTCAGGATTGCTTTGGCTATTTGAGGTTTTTGTGATTTTATTTCTGTAAAAAATACCATTAGAATTTTGATAAGGATTGCATTGATTCTGTATATTTCTTTGAGTATTATGGACATTTTAACAATATACTTTATGCTTCTAATCCATAAGCACAAAATATCTTTCCATTTATCTGTGTTTTTCTGCCTTTCATCAAAGTCATGGTTTTCAGTACACAGGACTTTCATCTCCTTAGCTAAATTTATTCTGAAATATTTTATTCTTTTTGATCTGAATGAAATTATTTTCTTAATTCTCTCTCAAATAATTCATTAGTGTATAGAAATGCAACTCATTTTTTATACTGATGTTTTATCTTGAAACTTTAACTGAATTCATTGATTGGTTCTAGCAGTTTTTTTTTTTTTTTTTTTAATTCAGTCTTTTGGGTACTCTATATATACCTCTGAAGAGGTAATTTCAAGCTGGTGTTTATGATGTCTTCTGATAGTAAGACAGTTTTACTTCTTCCTTTTCAAATTGGATGCCTTTTGTTTCTTTGTCTTGCCTAACAGCTCTGACTAGAACTTCTAGTACTGTATTAAGTAAAAGTAGTGAGAGACGGAATTCTTGTCTTACCCTTGATCTTAGAGGGAGAGCTTTCAGCTTTGCACTGTGGAGGATGCTAGCTGTAAGCTTGTCATATATGGTTGTTTTTATGTTGAGGTGTGTTCCCCCTATGCTCAGTTTGTTGAGATTTTATCATGAGTGGATGCTGAATTTTCTCAAATGATTTCTCTTCATCTATTGAGATGACCATATGATTTCTGTACTTCCTTTTTTTAATGTGGTGTATCACACTGATTGATTTGTAGATATTGAATCATTCTTATATCCCTGATAAAAATTTCACTTGACTATGGCATATTATCATTTCAACATATGATTTTATTTTTAAAAAAAATGTGTTTAAAACATGTGAACTTTTGTATATACTATTACCTATGGCTAGAATAGAGTTAGAACACTGTATGGAACAACTGATTGGTTCAGGATCAAGAAAGGAGTATGACAGGACTGTCTTCTGTCACCCTGTTTATTTAAACTATATACTGAGCACATCATGAGAAGTGCTGGGCTGGATGAGTTACAAGCTGGAATCAAGGTAGACAGGAGAAACATCAGCAACCTCAGATATGCAGATGATACCACTATAATGGCAGAAAGCAAAAAGGAACTAAAGAGTCTCTTGATGAGTGTGAGGGAGGAGAGTGAAATAGCTGGCTTAAGACTAAATATTTTTTTTTAAAAATTANTGATCTTCATTTTTTGAATGTTGAGTTTCAAGCCAGCTTTTTCACTTTCCTCTTTCACTTTCATCAAGAGGCTTTTTAGTTCCTCTTCACTTTCTACCTTAAGGGTGGTGTCATCTGCATATCTGAGGTTATTGATATTTCTCCCGGCAATCTTGCCATGGCCTGTAGTAGGTCTTTATTAGTTATCTATTATACATATAGTGGTGTTTATATGTCAGTCCCAACACTCCAATTTGTCCCTCCTCCACTTATTCTCAGTAACTATAAATTTGTTTTCTACATCTGTAATTCTATTTCTATTTTGTAGGTAAGTACATTTATACCCTTTTTTCCCCTAAAGATTCCACATATAAGTGATATTACATGATATTTGTCTTTGTCTGACTTACTTCACTCAGTATGATAAGCTCTAGGTCAATCCATATTGCTTCAAATGGCATGATTTCATTCTTTTTATAGTTGAGTAATATTCCATTGCATATATGCACCACAGCTTCTTTATCTATCCCTCTTTTGATGGACATTTTGGTTGCTTCCATGTCCTGGTTATTGCAAATAGCGCTCCAATGAACAGTGGGGAGCATGTATCTTTTTGATTTGTGGTTTATCTCACCTTCTTATAAAATACCCCCTATCCCTGTATACTCAGCTGTCCCACAGTTGAAGTGGTTTTAAAATGACATTTACCATTACCAAATAAGCTCCCCTGGAGGTTCAAACAGTAAAGTGTCTGCCTACAATGTGGGAGACCCAGGTTTGGCCCCTGGGTCAGGAAGATCCTCTGGAGAAGGAAATGGCAACCCACTCCAGTATTCTTGCCTGGAAAATCTCATGGACAGAGGAGCATGGTAGGCTACAGTCCATGGGATCACAAAGAGTCAGACACGATTGAGTGATTTCACTTTTACTTTCATTACCAAATATTAAAATCTAAATTACATTTAAAATTTTCTGCTTTCTGACATTTTAAGATGTCAGAAATGACCCTTTCTCTGCCCTCAGAAAACTTGAGCACGTGAGTCTGGATCCCTGACACTCTCAGGACTCTTCTGATGCTTACTCTGTACTTTTCATCCTCTGTCTTCTCTTTCTGACTTACTTTTCAGTTCTCTTCACACCACTTTTTCAGCTTTTATATAGAATAAACAGGGCAATTTTTTAAAATGTTCAAATATGACATAATTCCAGATACTTGATATTTCAGGTTTCCTGCTCACTGTATAACAAAGTATTCCTATAAGAATGTTCATTTTCACTTTATTCATAATTTATTCTCTCCCTACTCCAAAATAGAATTTGCTTGAGTTTATCTGTCACAGTATACACATGGGCTAGGTTAAAGGCACTATGATAATTAATGTACTTTGACTTCTGTGATTCAGTTACAAAGTCAAGAAAGAGGATGGGGTACAAGGAAAAAAATATTTTTGTTGAAACATTTAAATTGGAAAAAATATATTAAATAATAATATATGAGTTTCCTTCTGGTATAATCAAAAGAACATACATATATTTTTATTTGTAAGCTTATCTAAATATTCTAACTTACTACTAAATATTATGAAGTATTTTATTTTTCAATATCTACCTTCAATTCATTTGAAGCTAAGATACACTTGGAATTTAAATTACAATGGCTTACATAATTAGAAACAATACGTGCACCCCAATGTTCATTGCAGCACTATTTATAATAGCCAAGACAAGGAAGCAATGAAAATGTCCATCACCAGAGGAATGGATAAAGAAGATGTGGTACATATATAAAATAGAATATTACTCAGCTGTAAAAAGGAATGACAATGTTGTTTGCAACAACATGGAATGAACTAGAGATGATCACAGTAGGTGAACTAAGTCAGACAAAGACAAATATCATATGATATCACTCATACATGGAATCTAGTTTTCATAAAATGAAACAAATGAACTTACTTACAAAATGGAAACAGGCTTACAGATATTAAAAATAAATTTATGGTTATCAAATGGGAAACATGATGAAGAGTGATAAATCAGGAGTTTCAGAATGACATACATATACTATTATATATAAGATAATCAACAAGGACCTACTGTATAGCACAGAATATATATATATATATATATATATATATATATATCTGAATCACTTTGTTGTATACCTGAAACTAACACAACATTGTAAATCATTGTAAATCAACTGTACTCCTATAAAATGACTTTTAAAAAATTACAGTGGCTTAGTTGGACACAGCCACTCCACCTAAACCCACTGTGACTTTGTGAAAAGAGCTGACAGTCAGCAACTTTTTTATTTCCTTTTATCTTCTCTTCATTATGTCTGATTTGAAGTATTTAACATTGTTATTTTAACAGAATTGATGTTAAGGTAAATCTTATCCCCAGCCCTAACTTTCCACCCCTCCCCGTGTCCATGCTCTCAGCCATGTGACTTTGCAAGTTTTCTCATTCAAATAGTGAAGTATATTGCCACACCCTTTGGGTTTAGCCATAGGATTTTGACCAGTGTGTTAGTTTTCAGTTTAGACTTCAAGAGACCTCACACATTTTCACTTCTTATCTTTTGTTCCTACCATTGCTATAAGACACACGTGCCTGAACAATGCTGCCGACTGCAGGAGGAGGATGAGAAGTTCACGGAGCTGACTCACCCAGACAGCTGCCCCAGCCAGGAGCCTCTGAGCACAGCCACCCACAGGCACAGGAGATAAGTAAGTGCATTTTGTGGGCACTGGCCCTGTGCTGCTAATGTAACAGCAGCTAACTAATATTTATGTATTCATGTGAGTGAAATGTGCTCATATCAGCACTTATCAGACAGAGTGGAGGTAAGTGTATTTACCATAAACCAATTACATACCTGTCAAAATTGAGATTTCTCCATTACTTCTTAAATGTACCATCTTAAGCAAAATTAGGGTTCAAAACATAGATACAACAGGTACAGATACAATGAAGCCAGTAATTAAATTCACACAATCATTACAAATAACAAATGGTCCTTAATATATATAGGATTTGATTTCCTTTATTAAAAGAAGCCTTAAAATCATATGGAAATGTGACTAAAATGTACTGTGGCTGCATTTTTTTTTAAAGTTGACCTGAATTCTACCTTTGAAAGGAATAACAACTTATTTCAAGTGATTCATGACTAGCATTATCATTTATCAGTTAATTTTGAATGATTTCTTTGATTTGTCTTTTGTCACTACAGGTTTTTCTGTTTTAACTCACTTGGGTCAATCCCAAAATTTAACCAATATAATAGCAAGCTTAATTTTATTTTTGCATTTGACAGACCTTGATAACAGCAAACTAATTTCTGTAGCTGCATTTGATGAAAATATGCTGATGAAACTCATATTTCACATCATTGACCATAATGAGCTATTTCATCAAACTGTCCTTATGACAGCATTATAGAGAAAATGATAAATTTACTAATTTATTCACTTGAGATTCCATTTGAAAACTTTAAAAGAAAGGAAAAGATCAATGAAGTCAGGTAAATTAGGCTCTCAACAAATGATATATCTGGGTCTACATGAAACAATAGCACTAACCTCCCCTGCTCTTAATGAAATGCTAACACTAAATAAGGATTGATTAATTATTACTTTTAATAAAATACTACAAAACAAAAAAGTAGCTGTGAAATGCCCTGTTGTGAACACATAAGCACGATGTTACTCATTATCAGTATAATTACTGCCATGTTTTTATATAGAATTGGTGGGGGGTTTTTTACTTTGTTGATTTTTTTTAATTTTTACTAGGCTTTTAATTTAGAAATTATAACTAAGTAGCTATATCAACTGATAAGAGTTACAATTATTTTGTGAGACATAGTATCCCTTTCTGAGATTCTGAAGTGCACCTGGCATAGATGGGCTAACTCTGGTGCAAAAACAATCACTTGTAACAGATGGCCAAGAAGTTCATGAAAAGATGCTCAACATCGCTGATTATTAGAGAAATGCAAACCAAAACTACAATGAGACATCATTCAATATCATGTATTGGATGGCCATCATCACAAAATCTACAAACAATAATCCTGAAGAGGGTGTGAAGAAAAGGGAATCCTCCTTCACTATTGGTGGGAATGTAAATTGGTGCATCTGCTATGGAATACAGTAAGGAGGCTCCTTAAGAAACTAAAAATATAGCTACCAGATGACACAGCAATCCCACTCCTGGGCATATACCTCAGAAAAAATCATAATTCAGAAAGATATCTGCATTCCAATCTTCACTGCAGCACTATTTACAATAGCCAGGGCATAGAATAACCTAAATGTCCATTAACAGAGGAATGGATAAAGAAGAAGTGATACATATATACAATGGAATATTATTTGGTCATAAAAAGAAATGAAATTGGATCATTTGTAGAGACGTGGATGGACCTAGACTGTCATACAGAGTGAGGTAAGTCAGAAAGGGAAAAACAAATGTAGTATAAGATTGCTTATCTGTGGAATCTAGAAAAAAAATACAGATGAAATGATTTGCAAAGCACAAATAGAGACACAGCAGTAAACAACAAACATGGATACCAAGAGGGTAAGAGGGGAAATCCAAAAGAGAGGGTATATGAATATGTTTAATTGACTCACTTTTCTGTACAGCAGAAACTAATACAACATTGCAAAGCAACTATACTTCAGTAAAGTTTTATAAAGACTCTTCTAACGATAATAAATATGATTTTGTAAATTTTGTAAACAGACTTTAAACATCAATTGCGTGTACGATACACCAGAATGTCTTTTGTCAATCATTGTGCTCTATAGAATTTATACTCTCTGAACTCCAGAATCAAGGCTAACCTAGAGCAGGTCAGGGTCGTCATGGTCTGTGAAGAACTGACTCATTGAGAAAGACCCTGATGCTGGGAAAGATTGAAGGCAGGAGAAGAAGGGGACGACAGAGGATGAGATGGTTGGATGGCACCACCAACCCAATGGACATGAGTTTGAGCAAGCTCCAGGAGATGGTGAAGGACAGAGAAGACTGGAGTGCTGCAGTCCACGGGGTCACAAAGAGTTGGACACATCCGAGGGGCCGAACAACAAAGTTGGTTCACAATGTTGTGTCAGTTTCAGGTGTACAACAGATCAACCAGTTATACATATACATGTATCCACTCTTTTTAGATTAGCTCCCCTGTTTCCATTACAGAATATTGAGCAGAGTTCCCTGTGTTGTACAGTAGGTTCTTCTTAGTTATCTATTTTATATACAGTGGTGTGTATGTGCTCATTCCGGTCTCCCAATTTATCCCCCAACTTCTTATTCTCCAGTAACCATAAGCTTATTTACTACATCAGTGGCTTTGCTTCTATTTTATAAATAAGTTAATACCTTTTTTTTTCCTTCTGGATTCTATGTTTCACAGCAAGGTTATTTTAAATGACAATCGTGTTCTTGATAAACATTCATGGAAAAATGCTCTGATGCCTTAACAGACACTGTTTCCTCCTTCTTTCATTGTTCCCTCTATTTCTGATGTTTCCAACCTGCTACCCTAAAACTGCCCACCTGTTCTTCAATGCAATTAGTAAATCCTAAAATGATGTTGAATTCCAAACGCAGCTGTAAAGATTAGGAGAACACAATATTCTTACTCAAAGTCGACACACGAACAGCAAAACTATAACTTCTGAAAAACTCCAAATGTTTATAAAATAAATACTGGAATCACAGTTTGAACTTCAGAATGTTAGTGCTGAATGCCAATATCTTCTGGGGCTGTCCTTTGAAAATAAGTTTTTTGAGTATAGGTTTATCTCTGTCATTCCACATAATCAACTGTTCTTTAATAGTGGAAAGAGGAGAGTTGACCTTATCGTTCCTCACTTGGCTGCATCTGAATGGTTTTCTATTTATATACTTCTTCTGTGTATAGCACTTGAAAACAGGGCTGCAGAAGTCAATGAGTCTATGCTTCATTATTAAAATACCTGATTATCATCATCATAACACTGAAGAATTATTGAGTAATCCTGATGTGCAGTTTTCAGTAACTTGCTTGTCCGTCTTATGTATTTCTCAGCACAATTTTATAAGTTGTGTACTAATATTTCCCATTATAGAGATAATGAAACTGAGGTTCTGAGAGATTCAGTAATTCCCTAATACCACACAACTATTAAAAGTAGATGGTGTGGGACTTCCCTGGTGGTCCAGTGGTTAAGAATCTGCCTGTCAGTGCAGGGAACCCAGGTTCAATCCCTGGTCCGGGAAGATCCCACTTGCCACCGAGCAACTAAACCCACAGATCATGAGCCCAGCCGTAGAGCCAGTGCAGTGCACCAGACTGCTGAGGCCTGCTTGCGGAGAACCTGCGCGGCAGGAAGAGGCCACTGCAATGAGAAGCTCGCACATCGCAATGAGAGAGTAGCCCCTGCTCTCTGCAACTAGAGAACCCTGTGCACAGGCAAAAATAAAAATAAATAAATCTTTTTTATAAAGCAGATGGTGTAGCTGAAGTCAGATCCATCTAAATTGAACATCTCCTAATGTTGAAAATGTATTCTAACTTCAAAAATTTTCATTTGAGCTTCTATGCTATAATATATAAAGAATGATAAATGAGGAATTATTTATTTTGTGGCATAGAGAAATATAGCGTATAATTATCCTTCCACAATGTCATAAATAAACTACTGAACTAGCGATCAAGTTCAATGTCTGAAAAAATTAAGTTTGGTGAATCTTGTATTTAGAAAGCTGACAAGTTTCATAAAGTGACCATTTTTTAAAAATACCCTTATCTATGGGAAAGTGGTCTAACTCCTACATCCTAGAAAAATAAAAACTGCATCAATATAGTGACTGGGTCAACAGTTTTATTTCAGGATTGCTTTATAGATGAAACACAGATAATGTAAAAACTGCATATGAAAAAATAGACTACCGTAACTATCAAAAATTTTAAACGATGCCTTAAAAGACATACACAACATCCCTTTAAAATAGGTGAATAAGTGGATAAATAAAAGATGAAGGGATGTATGGATGGATGATAATATTTAGGTGGATAATAATATTTGTTTTTGATTTAGGTAACTATTTTCAAACTGACCCCTACATAGGGAGGGTGGTACATGGTCATATGAAAATTTCCAACAACTTCAGTATGTTTTTCTAACGTTCAGACTCTGCCTCATTCCTATCTGTTGCTCCACACTCAAGCAGTGTCACCAGACCTCCCCTCTGGTAACTGATGAAACTGCCTGGCAGAACCTACTCAGCTCTTCTCCTGCCACCTGCTCAAAGGTTATTAGAAAACCTACAAAAAGAGAGGCAGAGATCTCATGAGATCCAACTGAGACATGTTCGCAGTGATCCAGCAGCAGTGTGTCAGCCCTCAAGGAAATGATCTGTTCTTTTCTCTTTCCACACAGCATTATGTAGTAAACCATGTTTCTCTTTCATTTTGACCTCTAGGAAGGTCAGAAGCAGATTTACAGCTTAATTACTTGAGGCTGAATAGGGAGAGGTTTTTTCTTTCCTCTCTGGTATAATTTACTCTATTTTGGCTTTTCCTGCTGTTAATTTTATTTATATTTAACTAATTAAGCATCTCTTCAACTGGGTTTCCTAGAAAACTAGTTTTTATATATGTTAATAGATGCTTTATTAGGAAAAAACAGATTGCTTTTAAAATGTGTTTGGGAAATGTTGCACCATAATTATAGCT